GACTTTGAAGACTTTCTTTTTTTTCCTTCCTTTTTTTCCTGCTTTTCCTTTTTGCTTTTTTCCATTTTCTTGTGAGATTTTGGGATAAGCATTTACTCCTGCAATACCCCAATCATTGTGATATAGGCGATATAAAGAATGTATAAATCTCTTTAAAAATAAGACATAGGTAGGAGAAAAAAAATCACAGAAACAGTTGTTCTTGTTAGACCAGTAGCCAACAAGTCATCTGAAGTGTAAACACTAATATACGGTTGAGTGATAAGTTCATTAATGCAAATGGAACAAGGGAAACTTATAATGCCTTGATCCACACTCATTCTGTATTTTAGATGTGAAAATTTCATGAAGGAGGGCACAAATAGCCTTTTTTTTTTTTTTTTTTAAGGGGGACACCCAAACCTTTCCCTTTATTATAAATACATGGCTCAATTATTATGCAGCATAGGAAAAGGATGGCTTTTTTAGAAAGGATGGCTTTTTTAGAAAGGATTCTGGGTCACTGTGCTTTAGACGGCTGCAGTAACATTCTTCAAAAACTGCTTTTCACAGCCATGTCTCCATTTGAGACTTAGCTGAAATACATTTCACAATAAGACTTCCTGATACCTGAACCTCTAATTTTTAAATTCATTCATTAATGAGGAAACATATCAAAAGGCAGAAGACAGGGCTAAAATTACCACTGGGACAGAAGTTCTTGTCTTAAGACAGCTAAAACTATCTCCTCACATATGCACACATTTGTAAAAATAGCCAGACAGAGAAGAAAAGATAGCAGGATAATTGACAACATTTCAAAATGTACTTTCTACAGCATGTTGGCAAGTACTTCAACAACGCAATATAAGTGCACTATAGGCTTCCAAAAGATAATGTATTACCTTAATTGCTCAAATCAAAAACAATGATTTCACAAATAGATGGACTAGGGCTAGGATAGGTACTTTCAGTTTTCAGAAACTTCTATTTCATATTTAATCTGCCCTTGATCCAAATACTGGCTACTCTATTCTCCTACCTCCTTTTTGAAGTTCTTGAATCATTATTATGCCAAATGAGTTTAGTGTTCTGCTTACAGAAAATAAAAGAATTACCAAGGAAGACAGTCAGCAGATCTTGTAATCATTTATTTCATGAAAAAAATTCCAACAGTAGAACTAGTTGCCTCTAGCCGGACAAGGGATTCAAGCTTAAGACCTACATGGACAGGGTAAAACTGCCTTTGCCTCTGCTGCAACTACTGATTAGAAACTAGATCAGAACTCCAAATTTGGGATATCATTTTTTTTTTCATTACCTAGAGATGTATATCWGGTAATCAGGGGGTGAAAGGCTCAAGATCCCTTACCAACCTCCTGAGCCATGCAGTCTGCGTTAGCCAATTACTCTTAATCTTCTAATCCTAAAATATTTTCTAATGCTCTTGTTTATTCATTTGCTTTGTGCAATATAGCATCCAGAACATTTTAACCATCCCACATTTATGAAGTTCTTCATGTCATGCAGGCCAGAACAGATTCTTGGCTTTCATGCAAGTT